TCAAGTTCATTAAAATAATGAAGGTTAGTCAAACTAGAAAGACCTAGGGTTTTGTATATGTTTTTTTGTTTGATACACTAATAACATTTACAAAAATATGGTTTTGCAGCACTTACGAAAGTTAAATAATTTCAACTCCTACCTGGCAATACTGTCCGCCCTGGACTCTGCTCCGATCCGGAGATTGGAATGGCAGAAACAGACCTCAGAGGTGAGAGAGAGAGAGAGAGAGAGAGAGCTAGTTGAGTCATTGTGTCATGTCGACTGAAATGGCATTGTTCAAATCACCATGCACCTTGCATTTACACATCTTCCGTGGTCTCTTGTAGGGACTGGAGGAATATTGCACATTGATCGACAGCTCCTCCTCATTCAGAGCATACAGAGCTGCTCTGGCTGAAGTGGAGCCTCCTTGTATTCCGTATCTGTGAGTGAACTCTACAGTTATTAATGAGTTTGTGCATATTTCTGGCTAAAATACACAAAGTGATGCAATTTGTCTGTGTTCCAGGGGTCTTATCCTGCAGGACCTGACCTTTGTCCATCTGGGAAACCCAGACCTTATTGACGGAAAGGTCAATTTCTCCAAACGCTGGCAGCAGTTCAACATATTGGACAGCATGCGGCGCTTCCAGCAAGTGTAAGTCCTTGTCAATCAAGTTATGTTGAGTGCTGGAACAGTCTTTGAGGAAATGATAAAAAGATAATATTTGTGTTAGGGTTCATGAAGGTGCATGAATCATCCATTTGTCTTTTTTACTTCATAGATTCATGTTTTCAGTTTATGTTTTAATAAACTTTTAAAGGTGTCCCTAAATGTCCTGAAGACATATTCAAAACATCTGAGAACAATCAGATAAGTCTAAATAAAATAATAACCCTAGATACATTTACATTTATGAATTTAGCAGACACTAGGTATAAAAAAAATCTCTTATGAGAAGAGCATTAGATGCTAAAAAACATAATTAATTTCCCCATTATTCTGGACATTGGGTTTTTTTTTGCCATGGCTAATTGATTAATATTAACGTTTAATTCTAACTTCTTATTATCTCAGGCATTATGAATTGAAACGTAATGAAGACATCGTCTCGTTCTTCAACGACTTCAGTGACCACTTGGCAGAGGAGGCCCTGTGGGAGCTGTCGTTGAAGATCAAGCCCAGGAATATAACCAGGCGTAAGACGGAACGCGAGGAGAAAACTTAGGGCCCACGGGCCAAACTTTGACTGACCTCCAACTGTGCTTCATGACACTAATTCCACTTTACTACAGACTGAGAGAATGACGAATGGAAGCTATCTGCTGAAGCAACTGGGAGACTCTTAGTGGGAAATGCAGAACAAACTACAGACTGATGTTTGACCAGAGGGGTTTACGAGGAGCTCTGTTGTTCTGGGAGATTATTTTTGGGATTACTGCAACCCTGGCATGTAGACAGGCAGAGATTGTGACTGCTTGGAAAATGGGTTGAGACTGGTGCCAAGGAGAACAGAGGAATCACACAGAGCAGACAGACGTGACGGAAAGTACCAAAGTCTGCATCCTGGGCTCTCTGTTTTAGAGTAGAGCTTCTGCGTGTGCGAGTCAGCTGAATGATCCATTACTCTCCATGTTCCCCCTCCCATTTTCTTTATATATGTGCCATTTATTGGTCATCTTCCATGACCCCGCCCCCTCTCCCCCCACAACCTTTATACCCCCAAACAAATAATTTCCTCTCAAAGAACCTCACAGAACCTCAAGAGCAACCTGAAAAACTGACATGAACGCTCCTGTTGCAGATTGAGAGTCTAGGGAGTGGGGTGGACTACAAGAAGGGGCGGGGCAGCCATTAAAGACTGAAACCTACAAGTTTGTTTTGAAAATGTTTGTGTAAGAATCATGTATGGTTATGAAATGTATTATATACAGTGCTCCTTTTGTTCTTTAAAAGGATGTTTATGCTTATGAGAAGAGCTTAGCTTCTCCCCAGTGCCATACACATGTGCACTAAAAAAAGCAAAGCAAAAACACTAAAAGATAAATTACTAAAGATGCTGTGATCTGTGTACGTCATAATGAATCGTTACGTGTCGTGTTCCAAATGTAGAGAACCATAAGGCAATCACATCTCTGTTCTGTTCGGCCACTGTGTGAAAGTGTGTGTGTGTGACTGGAATCCTCTGTGACTTTGTGTGTTTGTCATTTCCAAATGTGCTGTAGGTAAGACCATCCTGGTTCCTTTCTTTTGGGATATTGTCAAAAACCAACACATCACACTGTGCTCTCAAAGTCCAATAAAACAAAACAGCTCTGTTTTTATATACACCGTGCAGCAGGACAAACTTTTTCTTCGACACAAAACTCACGCCATCGCCGACTTTAACAACAGAATGTCCATTTATTACCAAACATAATGGGGCATGGGAAATTTAAAAAAACAGTCTGACATTCGTCCAGCATTGAAATATTCAAAAAGAGGCCCTTAATACATAAGTTATTTAAAAAGATGCAAAAAACGACAGCAGGTATTTATTATTAATATTACTCCAATATATTATTCTCTAAAAGCAACAACACAGAGAATAAAACATTCAATTCTTAAAGTCACCCCAAACTTAACCTTCTCACAACTTCTTTATCACTTTCTTAAACACAAATAACACTAAAGAAAGTATGGTGGAAGACTTTAAAATGTGAAAGCACACTAATAGCATATCTGTTGTATATCAACAATTTCAATAAAATTACAGTGAATTTTTTTTAGCACTTGATGCTTGTTATCATTAAAAATCTGACCCAGTCTGCACACATTCATCCATCTGCACGCTGCCTCAGTGAGGCCGAGTGCTGGGCTCCATCAGGACTCTCTTCCCCACAGGATTTATGACTCCGCTCTGTAGCTCCACCTGCTCAGAAATGCCGCGTTTGAATCCCCGCGTGTTGCTGTTGATGGACCCTCGCTGCCATTTGCAGATGTCGCCGTTCAGAATGTCCTGGATGTGCTGCACAATCAGGTTGATGGCCACTGACGGCAGACAGAGGAGTAAACTTGTTAAATCATTAAGATGTTGAGCTGCTGCCGCATCACAAAAAACAAAAACACACACTTACCCATGTTGTCCACTCCCCTAGGAATGATGACATCAGCATACTTCTTAGTCTAGGACATAACGAGATAAAGAAAGGCAATGTTTCAAAGATGCTTATTAACTGGCATTAGTGCTAGGTCAATCTTTTTACCTACAGGCAAACAAAATTCCTCAAAAGCCGGTTTGACAAACGTCGTATATTGTGTGAGAATCTGCTCCAAATCTCTTCCTCTGCTCATGTCTCGCAAAACTAGAGTGAAAGAAACAAGTCAAAAACACAGGAAGTGGAAAAACTGGAATACTGCCCTGGAGAGAGGAACAGGAATACCTCTACGGGACAGCCTCACATCAGAATCTGTGTCCACAAAAAGCTTCATGTGAAACATGTCGCGCACTTTCTGTGGGTAGAACACCAGGATCCCCTCAAAGAGGACGACATCGGCAGGGTAAAATGTAATTCTTTCCTCCATTCTTTGAACAAATAGACAAGATAAATAGAGGTCAGGGAATTTTCTCATTCCTTACACAGTATTGTTTTTCTTTTTTGTACTGACCTGGAGTGGGTTACAAAGTCATATGTTGGCACTTCAACAGCTCTTCCCTCCACAATGTCCTTCAATGTGTTGAACATTAAGTCATTATCAAATGCCTCTGCAGGACAAAAAATGACACGAGTTGTTGTAACTCATGAGAATTCACCAAAATAATTGCACGTGTGTGATGGTGTGTTTTACGGTGAAATGGTTGGTGGCTCACCTGGGTGATCAAAGTTGTACTGGCCTTTCAGTGCTTTTGCCTTTTGCTCCGGGGTCAGGACTTTATAGAAACAGTCTTGACTGATGATTCCCACCTTCCTTTGCCGGTGTTCCACCTTGTTCTGGCCTAGGAGCTCCATGATCTTTGCGCACACTGTCGACTACCACACAAGGATTTACGGTATAAACGAAACTTATGGTATTACCAAAACTTAAGAACCCTAATTATAGACATCGTCATGTTGGCAGGTGTTTCTGTTCTAATGCTGTAATTAAATACTATATACACATACATTCATATAGTTGGTATGTATAATTACTCTATAAACGCTACATTTGTTTTCTAAATGTAAGCACCAGCTAAAGGTAGCTTTTGGGGACGGTTGCTGGGATGTGAAAGACAAAATTTAACAGAGAATAAATTCATAATGCGTTAAGGCAATGTGATAAAATAAATATATATATACTTACTTAAAAGTACTACTTTACTACTTAAACCATAAGTGAACAGTGGGCGTGCCAAACTATTTGACCGTTTGATGTACAGCGATCTAAGCTAAGCTAACTAATGCTAACGGATGTTTACTGACATCTTCCTGACAAGAAAACTCCTGACCTTTCCGCTGGCGGTTCCACCACTCACTCCGATCAAGAACGGCTGCTGCTCTGGTCTGTCCGATTCGTCCATGGTTTCTAGTGCCTCCATTGCAGTCGAGAGAGAAACGACAGCCTGCTGAAATCCAGATAGCTCTAACTAAGAGCCCGCTCTGTTTGCTGTTATGACAGACGCCATACGACGAAAACAACCCGGCTAATATCGCGAGGACTACCTTGGTTTTAGCTCACGTGCCAGATCACATGATCGCTTTTCAAAATAAAAGATTGACTTGCGTTCAACTTTTGTTTATAAAGTTTACAAAATGTGCCTGACATAGGGGAAAACGTATTTTAACTACGAGTTAACATAATTATCATCCTACTTACGTATATTTCTTGAGAAATAGATGCGACACATCTGTATGACAAATATATAAAAGTGGCCAGCAGATGTATGTAATTAAATCTATTTAATCTCTGTAAAAAATCTATTCAAGGTAAAACCAACTAAGAGAAATTCAGAGAGTTAAAGTCCTTTGAACTTTTACAACCATTTTAGATGATTGGATTAAATTTCAGTTTTCAATGTAAAATTCCAACTATGGTTTGGTTTACAGTAGTCTACAGGTAGGTACGGGTTTACCTCTATTGAAATGGACATGTACCAGATCACATGACAAGAAAACGTTCCTATAGATGATTTACATTTAATAAAAAAACAGAAAATGTACAGCATATACAGTGTGTTTAAACTAATTTACAGTTTAAATTTACATAAATAGAGAATGTAAGAAACTGGCATTTTAAGACAAAAACACATGGGAATTATTAGACACAAAGATGTTAATAAATGGCTGACTAAAACTCACCCTATTTACACCAACAACACCACATTTTTCCTTTTGGGACAAGAGTTCCATTGTCATTGCTGGAGTTTCCCTGATTTTGTATCAATTTTGTTGTCTTTGTTCTTTAGGTTTTTCACATCTGCCTTGTATAAGCATTTGTTCTGCACAGGTACGGATACAGTACACACAATCTAAATCCCAATAAAAGCACTACATGCATTGTGTTGTTCTGCGTTACCGTGTGACTTATCTTATTCATTTTGTTACGACTTGTCTTCACTAGAATCATTTGTCACAATTTCAAACGCAGCATCTCCTTTGATCCTCTTCACAGTCTCTCCTTTAGCAGCAAGGATTTCCTCAATGTTTCTGAATAAAAACAGATCACAAGTTGTTTTATTTTCAGGGAAGTTCCAAGCTTCATCTCCATTAAAACAGTGTGTGGTTAATGTAGCAGTGTCATACTTGTGAAAAGTGAAATCTAAAGTTGAGTAGAATGTACTAGATGTTCACAATACACAATAGAATATTTGATGTATTTTTGTTCACTGAATCTAAATCCATATGGAAAAGTCACACAGCAAATGTGCCACTGTTTTTCTGATGGGAAGTTTAAAGACCACTAACCTTTTCCCTTCCAGATCAGAGAACCAGTTTAGGTTATCAGCAATGATGTGATGATTCTTACATCCTGGACACGTCACTATCACTACACCTTTGTGGTACGCAAGCTTGGATATTTTCTGTGTGGTTCTAGTAGAACAAACCTGTAAACAGGTGACAGTCGTTTATTATTATAGCATTTTAGCATTGTGAAGTTTCACAAACGTGTTTTTGATGGGCTATGGTCCTAGGTGACTTAAAACAGTACACCTAAAAAGTAAAGATTACCATTTTTTATATAGGTGAATTATTATAACCAAATGATAACATGTGATTCAATACTAAACAATCATTGCTGTTTACATTTTTTGTCTTTACTACCTTGCATGTGTAACACAGATGGTAATGCGTCGTCTCTATCTTGCCAACACTGTCGCTTCTGGCACGAGTAGAAGATGAGAATCGTCTACAGATGACCGGTCTATTCTCACACCTGTCAACATGAAAAAAGTGACGAGAAATCCACTGCACATGTGCCGATGTGAATAGTCCTGTTCGATCTGTGCATGTCCGTGAAGCAGAGATATGCTGAAGAAACTCAGCGGACTGTCCGTTTACAGACCGACATCTGTGGAATCTGCGAAGATACACTGGACATACAGAGACATGTGTTCTCAAAGAGAGAGAACGAAATATAACACCCGTCAGGTTAAAAATCGACATTTTCTTTTACTGCTGATGAAAACTTGCGCCAGGGAGAGACTGGTGTCGCTGTTTAATGACGTCAGAGCAGAACTCAATTTTAGTTATTGGGTTTCATTTAATGGGGATAAACAAAATGATTCGTTTACGTCCTTAAAATAATAATAAAAATTAAGCCACATACAATTGTAATCGGCAATTATAATATCATGAGAAAACATAAATACATGGGCAAACAAACGTATGTTTCTACGTATCTATGTATGTATGTATGCGTACGTGTGTAAGTGTGTAATAAAATATTTACTTAAACGTCAATTTCGGCACAATGAGAAATAGCATAATATAATTGAATATAATTGTGGACAGTTCTCAGTCTTATTTTTAGAACTGTCGTACTTTTATTTTGAATGTGTCTGTGTGACTTCCTCCAGTGTCGTACAGCGGCATTAGTTTTTAGGCTGCAGTCCTGTGAGTTTTTTACACCGTCACTGTCGCTTCGGCCCGTGGGTCTCACCAACAACAGCTGCTGAGAGAACGTCAGAGAAATGAATCTCCCGTGTGCGGAGGAGGCGACAGACACAGGCTTTGATAAAACGGGTGAGTCTTTATGTTCTTGTCCGCAGCGGTGCGGTAATTAGCCTGTTAGCTGCGCCACACTATGTATGATTTTACTACCCCGAAACGTGCAAAGTGGGCATCGGTGATACATTGGTTGCCGTCGCCCCTCACCTATCTGCTGTTGTTGTTTTACATGTTGTTGAATATCGCAGACCAAAAATTCGAAATATCTACTAAAACATACTAGATTATTACTGCAATTGAACAATTAAAGGCCAAAAATGTCCTTTATCATGACAACAACAACAAATACCCAAAATGTAAACACTAATGTAATGGCATGATTGTACGGTAAATATAATTTTAAAGCAAACATTATATATTTTTAATAGTGTGCATAGTTGGAGAATTCCATTTTAAAATATTTGGCTTTATTTAATACATTTATCTCATTTATGTCAATACAAGTGTTCACATAGCGTTATTGAATGTGTAGTGTCCATGTTTTGCTACCATTATAACCTAGATATTAATTTAAAATTTTACCTTTCAAATAGCTGTTAAAGTAATGTATGAACTTGTTGGGTTTTTAAAAATAAAAATAATAATATATATAATAATAGTTCTTCCTCACATTTATTACTGAATTAGTTGTCCCACAGTATCATGAAAGCCTTAAGTTATATTGAAGTTCCGTGTTTTGCACTGCAATTATGCAGCCTGCTGTCTGTTTTTTTCTTCTTTTACCTTTCTATTAATTCCTTCTGATTTTAAGTGGGAGGAGGGTGGGATCAGCTTACTGTCAACCCTAAGGGAGAATATTAGAAAAATACTACTGTTATAAATCTCTAAACCAGAATACAATTTTAGTCGTTTTTTGAGAGTCTGGAAACTAGTTAAACTGTTAAATTTGTATTTTTATAAAATAAGTGGATTTTTTTAGTAGGAGTAGGTACATGAGTGTGGTTCTTTGTGTCAGTAGGACATGAAATAATTGCAATGTTTTGTATGTGTCAGAACCAGTTGGACCTGGTTTGGACTGCCCTGTTAGCTTCAGTGTTTCATTTTGGGTAGATAGGGCTGAGATCTGAAACTGTGATAACTGTGGGATTATGAAAAGACCCAAACAGAAGGACATTGTTCTTTCTGAACATGTTTTGTTTTATATAAATTAATTAGATATTGATATTGGAATAACACATAGATTTAAAACTACACAGGAAGGAAAAAGAATACATAATGACATCATCAAGGATACGGCAGAAAAGAAATGCTCAATATTTTTTAAGTGAAAAAATCTGTAGATGTTCTTGAAAAAAGTTGAAGAAAGCTGGGCTTTGTTTTATATCAGTTCACATACTGTTCACTGTTCACTCTCAGCTCTAGTGTCTCAGTATTTTTTGTCCGAATTTACTTCACAAAGAGGAATGAACTAGGATAAAGCTGCATAGCTCAGAAAACAATTCTCCATTTATCCAGATGTTGACTTTATTCCATTTCTTTCAGGTTTTTGTCCTGAACCATATTCTCTGATACATTTGGTTATAACACAAATGCCTATTTTAAGCAAGAAATGTACAGTGTGTAAACTGCAGATAACAGAGTTGGAGATGACACCGAGGGTGTCATAGACGAGATAAACAGCTGGCAGGCCTGTGTTTTTAACTAATTTGAAATAAGACTACGCTGCTCTTCTGAGCCGACAGTCTGTCATATTAGTCTTTTAGCATTGTTTTAATTTGTTGCGCTTGTCCAAACATCTTTTTCTAATGAGAACACACCTACTGCTAGTTCCTGTAGCATCTGTGTTTGTGTGTAATAGTGAGTTCTTAGACAATGATTTACATCAGTGTCAGCGTTGGCCTTTTGTAAGGATTTGTTTTCAGTTACAAGGCTGAAATTAACGAATTAATAAATGAAAATCTGATTAAACAATTCTCATAGTTAAAAATATAATTAAAAACCTTAAACCTTACTGATGTTTAAACTGGTGCTTTTGCAAACTCCGATTTTATTGGTTTTATTGCAGTCTCATTTCATGTTACTGTGTGTAGGTGTTGGTATGAGGCATGAGGAAAAGGGGGAAGTAGTCAGTTGTGGTATGACCGACGTGCTCAGGTTAATAATCAGCACTCACTTTATAATTCACAATTTGGAGATTGTTGCTTAGTGTGCTTTTTACCCTGTAAGTTCAAATTAAATTCAAATAAAAATCATTTTCTCCAGGTGATTCATCATAGTTACTATGGTATTACTGGTAGCCACCACTACAGAGCTGTCATGATAGCCAGTCATAGAATGACGTAATTAAATTTCTGATATATAAAGTCGAATCCAATGGCTGTGTTGCTGTAATGTGACTATGAGGTGCCATGTTGTTAAGTTCCTGCAATCAGATACATGTACATTTTGTATTACATTGATTTCATGAATTCTATCTATTTTTTACTTAAATAGCACATAAACATTAAAACTTTCTTCATTCTGAAATAGATATTTAAACTATAATGAAACAGTATCCAATGGACTCTGTGACTAAACTTTATTCTGTTCCTTTTTCGTCCTTGAAGGTCAACATGGGTTTAAAAAAACACCACAACACAGCAACCACAGATATCAGTAACCGTGCTATTCGATATACCCAAGGTTTTTGCTATGATTACACTCCCTAATTATTATTGCCACTGTTTCAGTAATAAGGTAGACTCACGATAATAGTGTACCTGTCAATGTCAAAAAAAGAAAAAAAAATTATTGACAGTCAGTCTGGATTTCTCTTTTTCTTTCTCTCTCTTGTGCTTTGGAACAGCAGAGGTGAGGGAACTGCCACTGCCAAAATAAACAACATAATCTAGTTATAATGAGTCAGAATTTCACAGGCTGGTCCGAAATGATTTTTGTTTTCAATATGAAATGTCACCTGCTAATTATTTTTCATTGCTTGTTTTGTTTTCAGTTAAACCATCATGATTCCCATCACCGAGTTGCGGTACTTTGCTGACACCCAGCCAGCGTACCGTATCCTGAAGCCATGGTGGGACGTTTTCACCGACTACATCTCAGTCATCATGCTGATGATTGCAGTGTTCGGTGGTACACTGCAGGTCACACAGGATAAGATGATCTGCCTGCCCTGCAAGTGGGTGATCAACAAGTCCTGTGAGACCATGCCCATCTCTAACTTGACCATCCCGTATGCATTAGAACCAAAAGGCATTCAATATAACCTAGACCGTCATCAGTATAATTACGTGGACGCCGTCTGCTACGAAAATGAGCTCCACTGGTTTGCCAAATATTTTCCTTATCTGGTGCTACTCCACACTCTTATCTTCCTGGCCTGCAGCAACTTCTGGTTCAAGTTTCCCCGCACCAGTTCAAAACTGGAGCACTTTGTCTCTATCCTTCTCAAGTGTTTCGACTCCCCATGGACTACAAGGGCATTGTCTGAGACCGTGGTGGAGGAGAGTGATCCTAAACCTCTAGGAAAAATGAATGGTTCATTAGATAAGAAAGCCTCAAGTGTGAGTGAGGATGTCGAGGCCAGTGTGCCCATGCTTCAGCGAACAAAGTCCAGAATCGAACAAGGAATTGTGGATCGCTCGGAAACTGGTGTTTTAGATAAAAAAGAAGGGGAACAGGCCAAGGCTCTTTTTGAAAAGGTGAAGAAGTTCAGGGTCCACGTAGAGGAGGGAGATATTGTCTATCGCCTCTACATACGTCAGACAATTATCAAAGTAATCAAATTTTTACTCATAATTAGCTACACAGCCTACTATGTACGCTACATCCGGTTCAGTGTAGTGTGTGAAGTGAACCTCGAGAAGCTAACAGGGTACGGCACGTTTTCTTGTGCCCATCCATTAGCCACACTTTTCAAGATCTTGGCATGTTTCTACATTAGCCTGGTGGTGGTTTATGGTCTCATCTGCATGTACACACTGTGTTGGATGCTTAGGCGCTCCCTCAAACGATACTCCTTTGAATCAATTAGAGAGGAGAGCAGCTATAGCGACATTCCTGATGTGAAGAACGACTTTGCCTTCATGCTTCATATGATTGATCAGTATGACCCTCTTTACTCCAAACGCTTTGCGGTTTTCCTGTCAGAGGTGAGCGAGAACAAGCTGAGGCAGTTGAACTTGAACAACGAGTGGACATTGGAGAAGTTGAGGCAGCGCATCACCAAAAACTCCCAGGAGAAGCTTGAGTTACATCTGTTCATGCTCAGTGGGATCCCAGATACAGTTTTTGATCTTGTAGAACTTGAGGTGCTTAAGCTGGAGCTCATCCCCGATGTCACTATACCACCAATCATAGCCCAACTCTCCAACCTGAAAGAAATGTGGCTTTACCACACACCGGCAAAAATTGAGGCTCCAGCTCTGGCCTTCTTGAGAGAAAACCTGAAGTCACTCCACATTAAATTCACTGACATCAAGGAGATCCCATTGTGGATCTACAGCCTAAAGAATCTTAGTGAGTTGCACCTGACGGGCAACCTGAGTGCTGAGAACAATCGTTACATTGTCATCGATGGGCTCAGAGAGTTGAAAAGACTCAAGGTCCTGCGTCTTAAAAGCAACCTGACCAAGCTTCCACAGGTGGTGACAGATGTGGGCGTGCACCTTCAGAAGCTTTCCATCAATAATGAGGGCACCAAGTTGATGGTGCTCAACAGCCTAAAGAAAATGGTCAACCTGACAGAGCTTGAGCTTGTTCGCTGTGACCTTGAACGCATCCCACACTCCATCTTCAGTCTGCACAACCTGCAGGAGATTGACCTGAAGGACAACAACCTGAAGACAATAGAGGAGATCATCAGCTTCCAGCACCTGCATCGGCTGGTCTGCCTCAAACTCTGGTACAACCAGATCGCTTACATACCCATGCAAATTGGTACTCTTACCAACCTGGAGAGGCTTTATCTGAACAGGAATAAGATTGAGAAAATCCCCAGCCAGCTTTTCTTCTGCCGCAAGCTTCGCTTTTTGGACCTGAGTCACAACAATCTGACCAGCATCCATGCTGATGTTGGCTTCCTACAGAACCTGCAGTACTTTGCTGTGACAGCAAACAGGGTAAGGACTTATAGGTATTATTTTAAAATGTGTTGATTACATTGTCTCATTTCTCTCTCCACCCTGATATCTGTTTCTCTCTTGTGAACACGATGAGATGAGGTGATAAATGAGGTCCTTACAAAGGTCAGCAAACACTGTGTTAAATCTTATCAAATACAACCACATAGGTGTTGACATTAAATATCTTCATTACAGTAAGTTGGCCAAGTTAAACTGTATTTTTATTGGCATCTTCCATAAATAAATTAGGTCAGTCTTGTTCCATTCCAACATACGGCATTAAAATAAATTTTGTACGGGACCTAGTTGGCAAGTGGAGCAGTTGAATACGTCGTCACACATCGCTATATGCGGAAGACGACGTTGTTTATAATTTTCCATACATACATTAGATTGTGTTACATTCAGTTTTTTAGTTTCTGTTGTTCTTTGGGAACTTTTTTCCTTTCAGATTATGCCTAGATTATGAAGTTACCACCGTGTTAGCGTAGGTGAGTATTTAGGTACATACAGTATGTACAGTATGTGTTCAGACATACAGCGATAATCGAATGACATTTGTGTGTAGACATTTGTTCCAGTGAAAGTTGTTAACCTTCTAAAATGCATCAGATGCAGACAAAAGAACATAAAAAGTATGTCTAAATATATAAACTTTGCTCTTCTCCATGTTAGATTGAGACGTTGCCGCCGGAGCTTTTCCAGTGTAGGAAGCTGCGCACACTGAATCTGGGAAACAACTGCCTCCAGACGCTGCCATCACGCTTCGGAGAGCTCACAGGTTTGACCCAGCTGGAGCTGAGAGGCAACCGGCTTGAGTGTCTTCCAGTGGAGCTGGGTGAGTGTCGGCTGCTAAAGAGGAGTGGGCTGGTGGTGGAGGAAGACCTTTTCAATATGCTGCCGCCAGAGGTCAAAGAGCAGCTCTGGAGGGCAGACAAAGAGCAGGCGTGAGTCAAATTCTTGGAGGTGGGCTGTAGCTGAAGGAACTTTGACTGCATTCTTGTTAGGAATTTGGGATTTTATAAGATTGTTTGGAGTATACCTGCCTTGTTTACCCCAGCCAGGCATCTCTAATATGGCCTTAACTTTTACAAGCCATATACCGTGTTAATGATAGGAACACCATGTTTTTGCTTTCTAGTAAAACGTACAGCTATTCCTTTGTTTTCTGTGTATGGAGTGTGGTCTTATTGTTCCCAGGTGATTCTGGTTTTTTTTTTGTTTGTTTGGTTTTTTCATTTCTAGTTGCAAAATAGTTTGACTTTATTAATACAACTGCACCTTTTTTCACTGGAGATTTTGTTGCACTGAGGCCTTAGCTGAATCCAAATGTCCTTTTAATGGTCACTAGTGAAGTGTTCCCACACAGTCTTGGATGACAGTTCTGGGTTCTCTGAAACAACGTTGACTAGCAACCGGTTCTAAAGAAAGAGCAGTTATTACTCTTAACGTTCATGCATGTGTCATATTTTTCAACAATGATTTTAAACTAACGTGTCTATTTTTATGTGTTTAGTTCGTTTTTTATAGTGACATTTAAAAGAGAGTACGATCTCTGTGTTATGCCTGCAATTAGTGTTGAACTGTTAGACGCCAAACGATAAATGCTAACAGTGATTTACTTAACATACACATAAACGTGTCAGTCTGTGTGTGGACCCACCACAACCCTACGAGAAAAAATTCAAAACTCAGCCAACTACCACCCACCCACCCACACACACACAAATAAATTCATGCTTACTCATACACACACTAATTAGGCACTTGAAAGTTATAGCACTGTTGTTTTGCTGTAAAAACCTCTGAGCAAATCATTAGTCAACATGCACATACAAAAACATTTGTTTAGAACATATGGACACCTATATATTAGTCAGTAATATTATTATTATTATTCCCTATAGTAATAATAATCAAATCAAAATTTTGTTGCACTGCGGCCTTAGCTGAATCCAAATGAATGCTCCCACAGTCGTACACTGTAGTACTTAGTATCTTCCATGATCATTCCTTTTATTGTTAGTTAAAGTACATTTCCAGTTCGGTTAGCAACATGATTTCTTGTGAACCAACACTTGTATATACCTTGAATTCATACCATATTGGTTTGGTTCATGTTTCTCTTTGTGTGCATGTATGACCCTCTTCAATTAATTTTTTGTGTATTACTGCAGGACTGTAGTCATGTAGTGCAGTACTGCAGACACCAAAAACATCTCTCAGCTTAGTGTTTGTAAAAACTGCAGCTATTGTTTCAGTTTGTTTTGGCCATAATGAGCGCGACTCACACTAGGGGAGTTGTACCACACCTAAGCATGATTGCCCCTAAACGTACGTTGTATGTGTTTGGAAGTGTTGGCCAAAGTGCGGAACACAGGGCCAAAAGGGCAAAAATCTGCAACTGGCCACCTCGCACAGTCAATAGATCAGGACATTGGCAAGGGCTGAAGCAGTCATTGCAGCGATGTGTGTGTCTCTGTTGGTCTGTGGGTGCGCTCCATTCAAAATACACACCGTTTCACATGCATATTACAGTCAGAGGCTGCTGCAGATACTTCGCTGCATCATGTTTCTGAGTGACATCGAGTTGAGCGAACGGATGATGATTTTGAAGATAGTTTACAAAGCAGCGTTGTTGTCAGATTCACTCTTGATCACGCTGTTTTAACCGTGTATGAACAACAATCACTGACGTATGTGTCGGAAGCAAAAGGGCTTTAGCTTGTTCAGGGCAATTGGCACTTTAGCGCAGAACAGAGCAAATGGCCCCAGTGTGTGCGTCCTCTAAGTCAGATCACTTAGCTCAGTCAATCTAAGGAAAAAAAAACAAGACCCTTTGATCTCAAGTACATCAAGATATCCTACAGTTTGCATGGACATCAGGGTGTTACAATCCTACCAGGCAGATTTTTAGACCGTGATTGTCACCAGCTTTTGTGCTCAAAATATTAATACTTGTTTTTTGTATTAACATGAATGGCTTTGTTACCAGAAAATAAACCTAATAATAAACCTAGAAAATGTGAAAATGTAGTGTAAACCTTGTACATTATGTGTTCAAGACTGTGGCCAAGACTCCTTCCACTTTTACATTAGATACTGTGTGATGTGTAACAATTAGGTTCAGGGGTCTGCAACCTGTGGCTTGATGATATAATTTGTGAATCCACCAAATTCAGTCCTGAGCTTTTCACAAAAAGAAAAGTATGTATGTATGTGTATGTATATATACAGTGTATATATATATATTTATATATATATATGCATATGTATATATATGCCTTCTTAAATTAGAAAGAGCCTTGTTGTACGTTACGTTTTGTGTTTTTAAAACAAGTAAATTGCTCCAGGTATGCTTGCAGGAGGTTAACCTGGTCAATGCTGAACAATAGCTGTTGGTTATCAAGCCTGAGCAACAGCTAGAGTATAAGCCACTGGAGTTGATAAAAGGATGAGTTGAGATTAAACACACACACACAAGGCTATTTTTTTACATTTTATAAACATATCAACTGCTAGTTTATACCATGGCCACACCATGGTAACTGTTGTTCGTTCCAACCTCCAGAGGTTTGATGACAGTCACATTAAGTTAGTTTCTTTTCCCCTGAGTCAGGAGTGGAGTTAACCTCTAGCCCATTTTTTTTTCCTTGTGTGTCAGCGTCGGTGAACTAGAGTAGTGTGACTGTGTGATGAGCTCAGCCATTTGAAGGTCGCTGAAAGGGAAGATTCAGTGACTAATAAAGTGCAGTGAGGACAAGTAACCTCTTTCACTGGAACTCTCTTTGTCCTATCCACACAGTAAACCCCCCAACTTGACACTTTTTGAAAGTTTTGTGTGTGTGTACAGTAACGGTGTAAAGGCATGCTTAAGTCCCCAACTTGACACTTTTTGAAAGTTTCGTGTGTGTGTATGTGTGTGTTAACACACAGTAACGGTGTAAAGGCATGCTTAAGTATGGAATATCAAGTTATTTACATACGAGTTGCTGGGGTTTCTCTAGCTGAAGTTCCCCAAAAACAAGCAAATATTTGTACAACTGTACAGAGCCACCTACTTGACAATCTGTCACACTGGAGTGCAAGTGGGCTCCACCATTAATGTTGGCATTGTGTACAGCAGTACACAACATGTGTAATATTCCTGCCGTAGGTGTGAAATAATTCTGCGTGTGTAGTTTTGAATGTCAAAGACCATCACGTGATCCATAACCAATCAAAAGTCTGCCATGATTGCAATGCATTGAAACACTTATTTTATTTGTGCATAAAATAGTTTTAGAAATCTGATTGTATGATCAATGTACAAAATTCACTGTGTTCTGTAGTCTGTTTCTCAGAAAGATGGTCACCTTTGGTTGATTTTTCTCTTTGATGAATACAACTTTATTGATATTGTGCACATTTCAGCCATGCTGCAACTGGACTATCTTGCACGGAACTTCAGTCAATGCTAAATCTAGACCTGTGGGCTGCATCACATCAGGCTTATTTATCAATGTTGTTATAAATTAATCATTGCCAGGTAGATTGAAAGTGACTTTTTCGGCTTGACATCTGTTTAAATGAAACTAACTTTTTGTTAATGTTAAGAACAGACTTTTGTACCATTCTGACACATAATAATAAAATAAACCCTTAACACAAATCTGTGTGCTAAGGGAAACATTCATTTGTCTTGACATGAGAAACTCCTGAGGACACCAGAGCTGCCGCTCATGTTGCCTGGTAGACAATTTAAACTTTGTCAATTAGAGGCAGAGCAGGGTTCATATGTTGAGAAGTCTGTGGTCAGTATGCTCAGGTGTTACCATTGTTTTTATAGGCACTACTAAAATATGCAAAAGTCCTGACAGTGGAACATGCTTCAAAAATTCCTGCCTGAAATCGCTTTAGTCTGGCTGCACATTGCTGACATCTACAGGTGGGTGGTGAGTTATTCTATTTAAATGTTAACAATTGTATTTTTGTAATTGTGTGCATATTGCAAAACCAGTGGTTTCCAAATTTTCCTACAGCTCCCTCCAACCCACTCCGACCCTCCACACAGTCACACATTTGCCTTTTGAACTTTATTTTAAACAATTTAGTTAACACAAAACAGAGGTTCAAAAAAATACATACTTTCTCTGACTTGCCTTGGAAACCACTGATTTGGACAGTTCACGTCTGCACTATTGTCTAATGTTTTCCACTTTACCAACCAATAAGTATGTTCTCATTAGATTCTCATTCTCATTTGTTATCCTTTGCTCCCATTCACTGTTTTTCCTCTGCAGGTTCCCGTACCTCCAACTGTAGGACCAGATCCTGACCCAGGATGAGACCCTTTTATTTTCTCACCCCATATTTTCTTCCCTCCCCAACAGAGTTTTTAAATAGTCTTTATTATTATTTCAACTGTTGCCAAGTGCTTGCTAATTGCACAGCCATTGGTTTATATAGGACTTTGTCAACATTTATATAATAATGGTTTTAAATATATAACACAATAGAAATGTGTTAATATTATTTCAATGTAAGATTGATGGTGTAGATACTTTACCTCTATTGTTCCGACAGAAGAAAAGTATTTTGTTAATCCACTACCAGCCGACGGATATCAAAAACGTAATTAAGGCAAAGGAAAAAAATAGTTATAAAGACAAACATTTTAGGATCTGTAAAGTTATTGATATAAATTAATATACAAAATGTAGTCAGCCAAAGTATATGTTGTGTAATGAGCAGAGAAAAAAAATGATGAAGAATGTTGGTCAGCTAATGCTAATATACTGAACAGACACATTGAAGTTTAGTTTATTCTGGAAGTCACAGCTACGACAGCGAATTCCTATGGTTGTCTTCGACAAGTACGGCTCTAACCACACAAACGAATGGGTCAATGTCGAAAATCCTCTTACTCCCCCCTGTGCGGTTCTACGTTAATTGGCTTGCCTACGTCACGTGTCGCTGGCTTCCAGCATCCACAGGCTTCAGTTAAATTTCGTGTGGTCAGTAGTGTTGGGAAGACCGAATCTTTTTACTGATTCGGATCTTTTACTCTCGAACATTAAATTGTCATTATGTCCATTTTTACAGCACGAGCACTGTAGCCCTCTTGTGGGCGTTGTGAAGAAGGCCGCGGTTGACAAACACTAAATACTGCAGGCAACATGATTTGTTGACAAAGTATAATATTACACAAAACAATCAATTCAAACCATGTGAAAACCTAATTAAGTAAATATGCACCACAGCATCCTCCCTGACATTGTTGATTAACAATCACGTGACAGATGAATGAGAACGAAAAAGACCCGTTCAGTCTGAGCTGTCTGTCACGTGACAGCTGGTAGCGGATAAGGTAATGTAAAACACTCAGACAATTAAAACAAAAAGTAACAATAAGTTCCCTAAAATGTTGAGACAGAGTTGCATTTATTGGGTACACATTTTCGAATTATTTTTATTGTTATTATTTTATGGCAGGGTATAAACAGCAACAGTTAAATAAGAGTAAAGTTAAATAAAACTAAACCAAATCCGTTTGAACCATTGGTGAATGAACTGTAGTGCTCGCCATACAGCCTGTCACGTGACTAAAGAACTAGGACCTGAAGACGGACGTACAGTTGAGTGAGTCTTGAACTAATCATTTCTGTTTCCGGTCCTGTTGACTAAACTTATGCAGCTGCCTGCCATGTGGCGAGAGAAGGTACTGAATGAAATTGAACGAATCGCTCACTGAGAGGACTAATTACTTATGAGTCATCTGAAAGATTCGTTCATATTGAACGAATTGCTGAGAAAAAGACACGTAATCACTGGTCAGTATTATTACCGCAGGCGGATCAGTGCTGGAGCTGGCCACCATGGACTTTATGTCGGATCAAGATGTGCAGAAGGTAAGATATGATAACGCAGCTGCAGGGCTACTCTGTGCATGGGCTTTTCTTCTCTCCATACATTACTGCAGTTTCGTGGGAACATGTTTGTGCACGTTACACAATGATTACGTAACACGAAGCCACAAGTGGTTTTGTAAACGTGTTAGCTTTACCAGTTCTGATGCTGTGAAGACAGTAAAGTTGTACCTAGAGGCAAGTTTTATAGGAGATCTCAAATTAATAATAATTTAAATGACTTTTTTTTTTTAGATTAGATGACATAAATTGTACAATTTATTCACTCGGGTAAATGACAAAAATAAATAAATAATTGACGATAAATTAGATTTAGAATGACCCAATTGACCTTTCCCTGTGGTCATGCCAGTTCATGGAGGACGGGTATGTGGTCCTGGAAGGGCTGCTGACCTCTCTGGAGTGTGATGAACTGAGGCAGAGAATGACAGAGATTGTGGACGAGGCTGAAGTCCCAAAGCACTGCCGCACCACCTTCTCCACTGATCATGATGAACAGCTCAAAACACAGGTGACCTAATGAAAAATGATGTGATAGGAATATTTGAACCGTGCCAAAAGTTAAACAGCTTTTCTATGACATGCTCAAACGTTAAACAGCTTTTCTATGACATGCTTACACACACATCTGTCCCTAAAGATGCAGGTGAGACAATGATTTTTATACATTAGAATATATATGTATATATTTATATACTGTATGTGTGTGTGTTAAGATAAGGACAATATCAGAGTACATGAACTTATAAATACAGGCATCCCCTTTACCCATAAATTAATATATACACACACATATATAAACATATATGTGTGTGTGTGTGTATCTGTGTGTGAGCGAGTTTTTTTTTTTCCGTAAGTTCATGTACTCTGATATTGTCCTCATCGTAATATTTGACCCACAGGGAAACACGGAGTATTTTCAAACCAGTGGAGATAAGATAAGGTTTTTCTTTGAAGAAGGAGTTTTCGATGACAAAGGTGAGTCCCATAACAATCACCATAACTCTGATAACCACTGTTACATTTCTGTGTAAGGCATTGTGTGTGTGAGCTTTTTTGGTTTTTTTTTTTCCGCAGGGGAATTCATTGTACCAAAGCAGAGGTCATTGAATAAAGTTGGTCATGGTAAAATGATTTTCCTTCAACTTTTCCGTTCACCTGAGGTTTCAGGTTGTCTCTAACCAGAGCTGGTTTCCTCCGCAGCACTGCATGCCCACGAGCCACTTTTCAAAAAGGTCACACATTCATCCAAAGTCCAGGTGAGGAAAATGTTGAACAAATGATGAACACAACAAGAGTGAAAGAATAACCAACACCTGCATCTGTTCTGTCGTTCTCTCAGGGCGTGGCCAAGAAGCTGGGTCTAAAAAGTCCTGTCATACTGCAGAGCATGTACATTTTTAAGGTGAAATTACACATTGTTACCCCCAGTGATGTACACCCTTTATACTGACCAAGTTTCTGTTGCAGTACATTGTAAAACTTATAGTTGATTCTTTTCTTTAGAACATTTACTTTCTCTGTAGTTGTACCTTAATTTAATTGTACAATGACAACAGAGAATTCTTCTTCTGGAAGAAAAATCATGCCGGTGTTTCTCAAGTACTTTTATACAGATCAGGGATATTCGAATATATACGGCATATACAGTACCTATGCTGGTTCAGTCCCTGGTTAAAGTCGTCCACCCACAGTAATAGTTCACTTTAAACTCACCACATATTTGAATGTGTGTAAATGATTGTTTGTCTCTATCTGTGGCTCTGTGATGGACTAAAGGCTGCTGGGACTGGATTAGGGCAGCAAGGATGACCACATTCATTTTATAATGATTTTTTTTATGATAATATGTTATAATAACTTTTGAGGTTTGCCACATTTCACCAAATTATATGGCGCTGGTATGTGTCTAACTTATAAATTGAATAATTAAATCAACAAAAAAACAAATCTCTCATGTTTTTAGTTCATTGTAGTTTATTTCATTATTGTTACTGAGTATTTTGTATAATGTATTCTTTATTCTTTATCTTTGTCAGCAACCAGAAATAGGTGGGGAAGGTAAGAAAATAGAAAAAAATAAAATCTATTGGCCTGTGGTGCCGACTGTTTTGTAGGTTGTTTCCATTTAAATCATCTTACTATCACCTCCTCAGTGACTCCTCATCAAGATGCCACCTTCCTGTACACGGAGCCCCTGGGCAGAGTCATGGGGCTCTGGATCGCTCTGGAAGATGCCACTGTCAACAACGGCTGCCTGTGGTTTATCCCAGGCTCACAAACTGGTCTGATCTTACTTTGGATCTTGTGCATTTGTTTGACTGTTGTGTTCATAACAGGCCTGTTTTCAATCAAGGTTTTGTCTCATCTCCTTCACAAAGGTGGTATCTCCCGGCGCATGGTTCGCACCCAGAAAGGACACGCCAACATGACAGACTTCATTGGAAGAGAAAAGACCTATGATGATGAGAAGTTTGTTCCAGTCCCAGTTAAAAAAGGTAACTCATTTGATATATTGAACATATCAAATGTGTACTAGAGTTGACCCGCCAGTATATAGCCCCTATACACTGGCAGGATTTGTAGTATTAGTGGTGTATGCACTATGTTATAGCAAATACATTTTGTTTTTTTTTGGTTGTTGGCCTGTGAAAAAAATATTAACATTAAAAAAGAACTCAAAAGGCTACAGATAAAGAGACATAATAAGAAACGAATACAACTGTTGTGTTTTATTTCAAATTAAATTTCTCGTGTTTATAATATTAAGCTTTCGTTGTTCTTTAATTTATTTAATGTTTTAATGTTTAAGATTTAATGATTATGCAAAACAAACTGGAAAGTTTGTTTCCATATGAAACAAATATTAATAAATATTAAGTTTGGACTTCTCAGTTTTTAATTTTGGCCCTTGGTGTGAATTTGAGTTTGACATCCCTGACATACTGTAGATCAGCGGTGTTGAACTCATTTTCACTGTGGGCCACATCACCAATACAGTTCCCCTTGAAGGGCCGGTTGTAAATGGAAGACTGTATAGATCAGGGGTCCCCAACCCCCGGTCACAGTAAAAAAATGTGCTTAATTTTTACTAATTTACTTCATTCAAAGAAATTCACCATATCCATTTATTTTCTTTATTTAAAGATAATCTGGCAATATTTAAAAATAAAAGGTAATTCAGACACTTATACAAACAGAATAAAGTCTAAAAGATATTTTATTTTGAAAAATTAATGATCCTTCAATGCATGTTAATATTGTTCATTTCTGTATGATAAAATAATAACTTTTAATTTATCAGGTTAAGAAACTCTGCATCATGGATTTACTAAATGCTTTTCAAGCTCCTGCGGGCCACACAAAATGGCTTGGCGGGCCGCATTTGGCCCCCGGGCCTTGAGTTTGACACGTATGCTGTAGATGAATGAAATCAAATTTCCTCTTTAACAAAATAAGAACATTTCTTTCACTTCACCCGTCAGGTGACGTCATCCTCATCCATGGTGAGGTGGTGCATCGTAGTAATAAAAATGAATCAAGTGACTCTCGCCATGTCTACACCTTCCATATCATGGAATCCCAGGAAACACAGTGGAGCCCACAGAACTGGTGAGCATGTTGTTGGGCTCTCTCTCTCTCTCTACATACAAACATACATAGCTATATATGAATGATATATTTAAATAGAAATAAAATATTAAAGCAAGTCAATTCTGTAATGTTCCAATATCTGTTTTTTTAAAGGTTGCAACCAACTGAAGAGCTTCCTTTCCAGCCTCTCTACGTGTAGTGACGTTCATGTGTCATAAGACCCTGTGTTTCCCGTTCAGGGACCAATGTATATGAACAGTCTTAACCACAGCAAATCTGCTTCACTTCCTTGTGACATTTTATTCTACAAGATGTCTTTGTTGGTCTAAGTAGCAGAACTAGACTTGTGAGTGTGACACTTAACCCTTGTGCAGTCCCTCGCATTTTTGTACACACCGTTTGTCCTTGCAATGATTTTCATCTTGTCCCAGAATATGAGTACTACTGAATATGAGGAAAAGTTGGCACAAGTCATGCAGTACAGGAACATGCACACACACACCCGGTGGTCACCTAGAGCCGAAGGACTTTATAAGGGTTAAAAAATAAGAAAATTAAAAAAAAATATATATATATATTTCTAATCACAAAAGTCAAAAAGATTTGTTTTATTGAACATATCCATTTGTTTAAAATTCCAGACTTAATGAATGATAGATAACATTTTCATCTCTACGTACAGTCTCTGCATGGGCCTGGTCGTAGAACAGCATTTTTCTTTTTATCCAAGGTCGTTCTCAAATCACAGGAATCCCTACAGCAATTTAACAAACAAATAAAAGTGAATCTCTGGATTGAGGTATGTTAACACTTTAAGACCACACTTCAAGTAGTAGAGCATTTAAAAAAGTATTTCCAAGCAGAGCTGAAAACCAAACCTTTGTGTTAATGTTTACTCCCATTTCTTTGATTAACAACTCATTTCACATTCTAAATGTACAATAATCCAATGCAATAAAAATCTGTCTTTATCTTTTCTTCTTAGATGCACCTATCATGCGCTTTTACATTGTCTAAAAATGTTAAGAGGATGAAAAAAGTAACATGCGAATAAACAGTTGTCACTACATAAACAACAGCAAAGTTCTTCACACACAAACAAGACATGTGATGTGAAAACACTGGGTTGGTTTTGAAATGATGATTTCTCCTGACGACACCGTGGAAAATTCCATTAAGACTAAAAAGACAGGAGTGGTGTTTATCTACAGGGTCAAAACCACGTTGGTGTGTGAGGCTCAGTATAACAAGGAAAGATGTTAGGAGGTCCCATCAAACCAGAAAAGTATGAAGCAAAGTGAAATTACCAAACAAAAGTAAAGTCCTTTATATTTGGGAACATGGAACAGTACTGGATTTCACATTAGTGTTATGCAGGAGTACAAAGTTGAAACTGGGATCATGGCTGCCATGCTTTCATTTTCAGCATCTTCAAATGTATTGTCCAATAGAAATGTACAGTATCTTTTTTAAGGCAAAAAAATAAACCCTCATCATGGTCCATTGGGCACCATCAAAACAAGGAAATATTATGAAAAACGACATGTTGATTGGGAAGTCAAGATCGCTGATTTATGTTCTTCAAAGGCAGTACAGAGGCATGATTTTAATTAGTTTAATTTTTTAATTTAAAAGAAAAAGTAAAGATTTAGAAAAAAAAAACCTTTATCGTGATCCATTTTGTGCCTTTAAGCAGCATATGTAGTTTGGAACGTTTACCATTTGTTGAACTAAATCTACACTTGCATAAACAGGGCTGTTTCAGTTGTTGAATACTTCAGGGTCGAGAAAAAAAAAACACACACCACTGCTGACATTGTTTCCACAACAAACTCAGATAGTTCATGATTCTTAAAGGGTCTTCTTTCATTTGAATTCCACAGATCTTTTTTTTTCTCTTGCTCTCCCACAAGAAAATGTAAAAGGTTTGTTTGGGGTTTTTTTGTTCATTCAAAGCAGCAGCAGGATGAAGAGGTAGAGTGGCAGAAATAGGTTGTCTATTTGGGAGGTGTAGGCCTCCAGCATGGCCACCAAGGTGATGGAGCCAACAATCCATGAGTAGGTGGAGTTCAGATTGATGCTGCTGTCGAATATAAGAAACATGGCTACAGCAATGATCTGGGCAAACACTGACGTTGCAGTCCCCTCCAATGTTTTCTTAGTTCCTGGCCAACGGATTTCTCCCATGGTGCTGCCGAACACAGATGCGACAGTGTCTCCGACCCCCACGGCCAGCACACCTGCGTAGGGCACCAGGCCCCCTGCACCAGGGAGTATCCCTTTAGGAGCGCACGGTCCAGGAAACAGCCATATGGGCAGAGACATACCCAGCAGCAGGTAGATATGAGTCAGGATGAGAGGCCCAGAGTCGCGCTCGTCCAAGAACAGAGTGAGAAGCTGCCTGAGCAGCTGCCCCACTGGTCTGATACGAAAGTAACGCACGTACTCCAGAACCAAGAAAACTCCCAAACAACCAACTGAGGCCACATGAAGTAGCTGTCTGTCATAGAGCAGCCCTGGAACATATGTGGCCACTACTATCAGATGAAAGTACTTCCTGACAACAGTGGAGGCCTGATACTTTTTGGAGCCTGACTGCCGCTGGTAGTTCTGGTGTAGCACAACACAGGTGGCCACAACGGCAAGGAATACCCAGTACCCCAACAGACTGAGTCTTCTGTCATTTAACGTCACAAAGTCCAGCAGCCACATGATGGGGTGTCGACCAATAAAAAGAGAAAGCCATGGCAGGAGGACTCCCAGACCTAGAACTGCCGTCATTATGTGAAAGAAGAGCGATGACACCCAGGTCTCTGACTCCATGAAGCAGAAGAGCAGGGCGAAGAAAACACCCAGCAACAGCGAGCCCACCACTACCACAGGCAGGAAATAGTTCACTGGATCGCCTCTGACTTCTGCCAGATTCAGGGAGCGCTTGATGAGTTGGTTGACGACAAAGCTTATTCCACCAACGATGAGGAGCGCCTCCCCAGGTGTGAAGCAGCGTGGCATCAGGTATAGCACAATCAGGCTGAGATAGACGAAGATCAGAAGAACTTCTAGGACTTCGATAACCTCGGACACCGTCAGTGTCTGCTTTGTCGTGTAGAGAATTACACTGGCAGCCATGCCTGCAACCACACAGGTGTTTGTTGGCACAGGTCTGGTGATGCCAAGAGCAATGAGAGAGAGAAACAGAGCCAGCATCATGCCTGTGATGGTGATAACCATGGAAAAGCGCTCAAAGTAGACATTCCCTGAGGCAGAGCACCTTTCCTTTAGTGCCAGACCCAGCAGAGGCATCACCATGGAGGCCGGGACGATGCCGCTGTTTGCAGCTGGCCGAAACTGGAACACAGCGGCGCCTGACTTGAGCAGACGGTCCCATTTGTACTGTACATAGAAAGCCTGGATGACAAGGGCGACACTGCACCAAGAATGCTGGTTCCAGACAGCCAGGTGGACGCACAGCACTACGGCCAAAATGACAGTGGACTCCACCAGCACTGGGTTGATCTGCATGGCTGCAGGGAGGTCGGCTCACACTGCTGTGGGAGGAGGGTTGATCTGGACAGATGGTCAGCAACAATGACGCTTACTGCTGTCAGTTCTTCTGTCAGGCACCCCTCATCTTTCGGCAGACATTTTTCACTGGCTAAGGATGTTAAGAAGGAGAAGGGAAGTCATTAGGTCAGGTCGTAAGTGAAAATGTTCTGTCAGCATTAAATGTTGAACACAACAGGACCTGCGTTAGAGCAATTCAGCTGAAATGATGTGACTTGAAATTATCCTCTGTGAACCTTGGACCTGCTGTTATCGACTCTATGCCGTGAACTGTGTCCACGCTGAACATTAGCCTAGTTTTTAACATCTCACACTCAGTCGAAGAAATACACGCTCTTTCTACGTCAGCTGCAACCTTTTGTTCTGTGTGGAGGTAGCATTAACATTCAGCTGGGCTGAAACAGCTGTGCTAATAGCAGTCTATCACCTTTGACGAATCTGGGAAACAAACATTTTGAAAAATATGAGGCTTATAACAACAACAAAACTGTCTATTACGGCCGCGAGCGACTGAGAAACTCGTCCCTGTGCAGCTGAAGGATGCTGCAGACTGGAACTCGAGCTAACGTCAAATTAGAGCTAAGTTCAAAGAGAGGGTTTACAGCCACGGAAGCCAAAATGTTTTCAAAACATGTTCAGAAGGAGACGCGCACACCTACCGGAGAGGAGAGGAGATATTTACACGACCGTATGTTGTGATATTATCCTGGTGAATGTGTTTTCTTTTGTCAGCTGTCGATCCACTCACAACCAGCAGGACGGAGCCATATTTGACAACTGAGTCACGTGATACGGCGTAAAATTACGTCGGTAGGCATGGGCTACGGCAATGTTAAGACACATAGATAATAGAAAGTATTAGCCCCCATTTAAATACTGTAATATGATTTATTTTACAGAATAAGGAGTGTATTTTTAACAATATTTTAAACATAGCTTTTGTGACTCAAGAAGCTTCTAAAATGTTTCATTTCATTAGTTATTACGTATTCAATTTTAACTAGAACTCTGCAAATGTGATGTTGAACCAGCCAGAATACATGAAAACCTCTGTATTATACAGAAAGGGTCAAATAATTTCAGTTAAAGAGTTAAAGAGAGTTTTAAAACATATAAATCATATACAAATTTAGAACTCATGTCTTCATATAACAAAACATTTTATTTCATTTATTTGGCAACCCAAATGTTTGGAGTACAATATAAATGAGTTTGGCAACTCTCGAAAATGCTGAGTGGTTCTGGCCTGTTAAACAATATTGCCCAGACGATGTCGTTAAAGCTGCAAAACCAAAGTCCTAGTTGCCCAACGAAGAAGAATGAGATGACGACACGGTGCTGTAAACCAATCACAAGGCAGAATCGAAGATGGCGGAATCAGAGATGAACGTTAGGTAGGCAAATAGCAACGAAGTTAAACTAATGTAGCCTTAGTTATAGTAGTTGTTCATTCTTGCTATTCCTGTAAATGAATATTTACATGAGCCGCATGTGTTTATCTAGTCAAACTTATAGTCAGTTTTATTGGAGACAATGTGTATTTTTAAACGACAGCACCACGCTGACTTAGCTTAGCAATTGCTAAATCTCGCATGTTTGAATGGTTTTAAAGCTGCAACGTCTGTGGGTTCGTCCAACGTCCACATGTCAACAGCAGCCCGTGGACAAAATAACTTTTTCACACAAAACTATTCATACTTTACAAATATGATGTTCCCTATTTAATATTTCGACATTATTTGCACTTGTAGGCATTGGCTAGTTGCTACAAAAGAGAATGCGTCTGCGTTTTTCTGACAGTCATGTATACATTTTCGTCTCATAGGAGTTGTAGGGAATTATGGACTATACTGCTCGGAAGATCTGCTTTAAGAGAACCGGTAAGATTGGCCTTTTCATGATGTCTTGTACTTTTATCTTCATACACAGTTAGCACTGTTATTGTGGAAAATTTAAACATTGGGGAGTCGTCGCATCAGTTCTCTTGTTACCAGTTATACACACTTAATCAATGTAACTCTTAATGATAATGACACCATGATGATTAAAAATTGTTCAACAGGCGCAGATCGAGGCAGAACTTGACAGACATTGTGACAGACTCCATCAAGGACTCAGCTACTATAAGCTACCCAGGTACAGTTACAGTTACTTAGAACCATAGATGCTCTAATACAAGTAAGCTAAATGGTTTTGGGAAAATATTAATAATTTTAAAAATATTTAAATTTTCACCTTGTGTATCTTTTTTGTTTATTTTTTATATTAATCTCTTACCAAGTGATGAACTAAAAACACTAAATGTTTAAACAACAAAAAAGGCAATTGCTGCTTTTGTCCTTTTTGGTATTTATATAATTGTAAATATTATTCAATTACAACGTTTTAAATTGATTCCTAAGTAAAATTTTAATGATCATATCTAGTTCATCTTCTGCTGGGAAAGTGAAGGACAACAAAGATGTTGCTCAGCCACTAAAGGATTTTGGTTTGAGGATCAGTAAATTGTTGGTAAGTGTTCCAAAAAGCTTTTTACAGTGGATTTTAAATATGCTCTTTCATTATGTTTTTGATGGGGGATTTTTTACATACAAATGTGTGATTTTTAAATATATTATAGGGTCTTGATGAGCAGCAGAGTGTGCAGCTTTTACAGTGCTACCTGCAAGAAGATTACAGAGGAACACGTGATTCGTTAAAGGTATTTATATAGTGCCACTTATTGTTTTTCTGAATTCTTAAGCGTGTTATCGTTTGTTGTACTCACAAATTTGCCATTTTTATCTATTGTGTTTCTCTTTTTACAGGTTGTTTTCAAAGATGAACGACAAAGCCAGTCATTGCTATTAAAGGTGAGTCCACTGATCTGTATCTGTTGACATGCAAAAGAAATGACTACGGCTTAATTATTGAAAGGTAAAATCCTATTTTTTAATCTATTTGTAGATTGCTGATTATTATTATGAGGAGCGAACATGTCTTCTCAGATGTGTCCTTCATTTGCTGACATACTTTCAAGATGAACGACATCCTTACAGGGTGAGAAATATCATAAAATATATTCTTAAAATAAATATATTTAAATAAATATATTTTATATCTTGTGTTTGTAATTTTTTAGGCTGAGTACTGCGACTGTATCAATAAACTTGAAAAAGACCTGGTAAACAATTTCAAAACACAGTTTGAAAACCTCTTCAAAGCAGAAGCACCAACATGGGAAACCCATGGGAACCTCATGGTGATTATTGTCATCTTACTTCCAGTAAATATGTACTTGTGGTCTTTAACAATTTTTTCTAAAATCTTGTTTGCTTACATTTTCAGACAGAAAGACAGGTGTCACGTTGGTTCATGCAGTGTCTGAGAGAACAATCTCTGCTTCTGGAGATCATCTTTCTTTACTATGCCTACTTTGAGATGAGCCCGTCTGACCTTCTCAGCTTCACAAAGATGTTCAAGGAGCAAGGCTTTGGTTTGCGACAGACCAACAGACACCTTGTTGACAACAGTATGGATGCATTGGTTGAGCGTATTGGGTAAGGGCAAAGACAAAGTTCCTAATAAAATGTTCGGTGAGAGTATTAGTTTACACCTTATGATCAATTCTGCTTCAAAATATTTGGAGATAGACATATTATAAAAAGAAAATCAAACATTTGTGTTAGATTTCAAATAATCTTTGAAAAGACTTCTGACAGGGAGGATTATTTATGAATGTTTCTGCTTCCAGATATTTGAGCTGTCTCATCCTTGTTGAGGGTATGGATATTGACTTCCTGCACAAGTGTGCACTGGAAGACTGCACAGAGCAGCACCAGTTCTCCAGTGCTCCAGATATTGTCAAGGTTTGATTGAGTTTATACCATTATTAGTTATACGGGAAGAACAGTGTTATGCGGCTGTCACAAGAGTTAACCATTCATTCCAGCTTTTTTGTTTAGTGTGAATGTATATATTTATACTTGGATTTCCTCATCCAGGAGATGGGTCAACTGCTGCTGACCTTTGGTGACATCAATCATCACGGGCCGGTGCTGCTGGCCTGGGTACTGCTGAGACACACACTGAGACCAGACGAGTCCAGCCCGGTCATCAGGAGGATAGGTCACACTGCTCTGCAGCTTGAGGTGTTTAAATACCTCTCGGCCATGCTGAAAAGCCTTGGAGTCTCAGGGAACAATGTAAGAAAACTTCAACAACAAATGCAGTAAAAGGGTAAAAGAAATGTAAATGTCTTCTGTATCTGATAACATCTACTATTGTAGCTTTAATTTCTGCATACTATGAAGTTGTTTTGTGAAAAGTAAAAGGAAAGATTTTAACCAAAGGGTCAAGATAGTATGATTATTAATATATATAGACTTTTTTTTATAAGCAAGGATTTAAAGTAAAAGTATTGTTCATTTCCTTTTGTCTTTGTATGTATAAAGATATTTTTTATGATAAAGTAAATATACCTAATTCTGATAATAGAAACTAACAGATGTACTGTTTCCTAATCCTACTGTTCTAAATACTGATCATATTCAAATTATTCCAATCTGTTTCTCTATGCCTTTCCAGTGTACAGCAAGTACAGCCAAGATGTGCATCTACGGACTCCTCTCATTCATGATGACATCTTTTGAAGAAGAAAGTTTACAGGTGTGTTTTCACTAGGACACAGCTCTTTTGTCACATTTGACCTGCACTTACTGAATTTCCCCAGTGTGGGATGAATACAGTATTATCTTACCAACACTTAATTGTTTTGGAATAATAATGCAGCACACACACCTGATTGATGCTGCCTGTGAAGTTCTCTCTGCCCCCAATCTGGCCGAGGTCTTTTGGGACATGGTGAGGAAATAAAAAAAGCAGAATATGCACTTATATAGGAATCACATGAAACAATGATCATTTGTCTTCATCTAGAAGCCAAACATGGGACTAGGAATGATCCTGGACAGTGCAGCTGGAATGTTCCCTCATAAGATTGGACCACTGTTGCAGCTTCTTACTGCACTTGTGTCAAACAAGTTGACTGTCAAAAAGGTAGATTTTGCTCCTGGACTGATATAAACAGTTTGTCTAATTTGTCTTGAAGTTATATTTTACATGTGTATTTTGTCTGCCTACAGGTTTACAACTTTTTAGATAAGATGTCTTTTTATACTCAAGTTTACAAACATAAGCCAAATGACATCATTTCAAAAGATGATGAGACATTATGGAGAAGACAAACACCCAAACTTCTTTACCCTCTTGGTTAGTTTTGTGATAACTGTCAGAAATGTCACCAGTCTTGTATCTTTAATACAATGTGATAACACTATATTTTTTGTGTTACTTTCTTTATCATCAGGGTCTGGACAGACTAACCTTTGGATGCCACAGGGGGTGTTGGGTCAGGTGATGATTGGGAGTGATGGTTATATAATCCGCTGGGATCACTCCTACAGCTCCT